ATATGCTCTTATACACTGAACATGTACAGTTTTCTATTTTTCTGAAAATCTCAATTACTGTGGTTTCAAATTAAGCACATTATAATTATTTCTTTCCTGGAAGTCTTACCTGTGACGAGGAAGGTAGTTTTGAAGTACAGTACGTCCAATGTCCATAGTATTTGCTCCTTCACTTATCACAAAGCAGTCCCTGGGCAATTGTTCTTGAACATGGTAGAATACTGTATAATAATTCATAGGCAGGGATTTTCTGGAAGCTAATTCCTAAAATAATAAATGTATATAATGTAAATTATATTGGGACATAATGAAAACAACTAATTTTGTTTTTTGGTCTTTTAGAGACAAGGTCTCCCTGTAGCCCCAGCTGTCCTGGAACTGACTATGTAGACCAGGCTGACCTTGAACTCAAGAGATTCACCTGCCTCTGCCTCCCAAGTACTGGGATTAAAGGCATGTGCCACCACGCCCAGTGAAAATAACCAATGTTAATAAGCTACTATCAAAGTTATTTGGGACTAGTTCAGTATCAACTACAAGCTATAGGAGTCCCAAACGGCTATACAGTTGACATACTGTACAATTCTATTTATGTTCACTAGTATATTAGTATATTAGTAGTCTTAGAGTGAGTTTATATTTTATGCATAATTACTGCATAATTCCACCAGCAAGAAATCCAAGTGTACACTGAAAGCTGTACCCAGCTGTACCAGGATGCTTGTAATCTCCAGTGCTGGGATACAGGAGTGCACTGCCATGCCTGGCTTTCCCCTTGATCTTGAAAGTGCCAAAGCTTTGTGAAAGTCCCAAAACATAGTCACAAAAGTCCTAAAAAAAGCTCTAAGAATAGAATGGTTTTACTGAGTTTGGGGGAAGGAAGGTCCCTATACTTCTACAGAAGGAGCTATAACTTGTGAGTTTCTAAATAGATACAACAGTCAATAATCCAGTGACCTGCTAGGAAAAATGTGTCCCATAGTCCCAGTTTGGGCTACGATTAAGCTGGCTGGGGAACAGCCCATGTCCTGGTGATCCACAACACACCTTAGTATATTAAGACTCTGAGAAGTCCTAATATAAAGATGGCTGAGCAACACTGGGTTAAACAAAACTGAACAATCTTATTTGACCACACTTAGAAAAACATTTTCCTTTAGAAAAAGTATTTTCCAGAATATTTTCACCTGAAGTCTGGCCCTAAATTTAAAATTAAGCTGTTAGGACAAGGGAAGACAATCTGAAAATCTGCTCCTCCTTTACACACTGGAGTAAAGGAGTCACAGCTCGTCCTATATTTTAGAAAGTCCCTGAATGAAGGGGAATATTAAGGTAAATGCTGCTGTGCAGCCGTACGCCTGCTACTGCTGAGCAGAAGCCAGCTGGTGCTTCAGCAGCAGCCCATCTGGTCCCAGCACTTTTTCCACCTGTGCTACTCTGCTCTGCTGAAATTACACCAAGACAGATGGCAGACTCCCTATATTCTACACCAGACAAGAGCGGAAACGTCTACAGGGACCCTAGGGAAAGGAGACTGTGCGTTACAGAATGGAGGGCAGAGCTGAGAGTGGCTCTCAGCAGCAGAAACAAATCACTGATTAGAACTTCACTGCAAGATGGATCAGGGCATGTCAATTCTGCCACAAGGTACAATCTACAGATGGGAACTCACTCTAAGACTGCTGATGTTTGAGCATAACTCAGATTTAAAATCTGCATAATTTGCAAGAAATTTGTAAATTTGCAAGAAATCCAAGTATGCACCAAAAAACTGCATCTAGTTGCACCAAAATGCGTATGAATACATACAACAGTGAAAAAATCCCAACAACTCATCTGACAGAGAAAATGTTTTATATACAACGACTTTAAACAGCAATCATCAGACCCTGTAGAAGTGACTCATTTTAGTGCTAGTCAGGGATAGTCTGGCGGTTTCAAAACTCATGACAATTTCTAAATCCTTCACTATCTGGCAAAGCCATGTGGGCAGACAAGAATGCCACAAAAGAATTTCCAGCAGTGATATAAAAGCTAAATGGGGGCGGGAGAATCTTGCACTGCGTCAGATTCAGTTTTGATGAAGGAACTGACGACGACACTCACATGTTCCGAGCCTTGGGACTTAAGGTTTCGGAAGAGCACTTCATTGTAATGTTCTGCACCAAAACCAAACTGACAACTTTCTAAGGTCAGAATGACTGTCATCTACCACTTCATAGTAACTCACAAACCAAATCCCTTCTGAGGCCCAACTCCTCAAGGAACTTCAAACTCTTTTCAAAGTAAACTACCATATTATTGTTTTATATATGCATTTTTTCCTATTTAATATAGTTAAAACTTTGCTACCATTTGGTATTAGACTTGTTTTTTTAAAAAAATGTATTTTATTATTTTTATTTTATGTGTATGCGTGTATAGCCTGTGTGTAGGTAAATGCACCCATGTCATGCAAAGCCCGTGGAAGACAGAAGAGGCTGTTGGATCCCCTGTAACTGGAGTTACAGACAGCTGTTAGCTGCCATGTGGGTGCTGGGATTTGAACCTGGGTCTTCTGCAAGAACAACCAGTGTTCTTAACCACTGAGCCATCTCTTCAGCCCTGGTATTAGAGTCATCTCATTTTTGGTTTGTAAACTTTTGAGAGTTGTGCCCCAGCAGCACCCCTTTTTGAACCTGAGCTTACACATGCAATGCTTTCCAGGAGCATCTGTTCCATCACTGGCCGCACATTACCTTTGATACAACTTGATTGCTCTTCATTTTCTCCCTCAGAGTCTCCCACCACTTGCTCTCTGCAGGGCACTGCCATGCTGTTTTATCCAATTGTTCTAAAAGCTGAAAAAAAAAAGAACTTTTCTTTCCTTTTTGAAAACAAACTTGCATCCCGTTAACACAGAAATCTTAAAGACACATCAGTGCATGACTTTACCCTTCACATTGCTCATAAACTTTTTCTTCTCAGCAGCAAACAGCTGATGGCAGATCAATGGGTGTTATGATGACATCTGTCTAGGTCAGTATCCTAGGATACTGCACCAGAATGATTTCATAAGTGATGGGGTTGCATGGTAAACTACACTTACAACAAGTATCGTCCAAAAATCAAGTGAGAAATGTATTTTACCTCCTGTCACAATGAAATATATAAATTATATACAAATAGGGGCCTGAACAAGTCACTGATTATAGCTTAAAGAGTAAAAATTGCTTTATTACCTGAAAATATATTGTTAGATTTTCCCACTGTGTAAATCATTTTATGGCTAGAAGTTCAATTCCTTTAATTTTTTTTTCCAGAAAGTTGGATCCTATTTAGTAATTTCTGGTTTGAAATATTTTAAATATTCATGTGCCTTGTGAAAATTGTTAACTTTTGCTGGGTGTGGTGGCGCACGCCTTTAATCCCAGCACTTGGGAGGCAGAGGCAGGCGGATCTCTGTGAGTTCAAGACCAGCCTGGTCTACATAGTGAGTTCCAGGACAGCTGGGGCTACAGGGAGACCCTGTCTCAAAAAAAAAAAAAGGTTAACTTTCATAAATATCAGCAATGTACAAATGTACAATAAGTATAATTTACTGAATTCCAAAGTTACAGTTAAAGTTAGCTTTCCAGGGGCTAGAGAGATGGCTCAGTAGTTCAGAGTGCTTGCTCCTCTGGCAAAGGACATGGATTCAGTTCCCAGCACCCATATCAGGCAGTTCATAAGAGCCTGTAACTCTAGTGCCAGGGAATGTGATACCCTCATCTGACCTCTGTAGGACCCCACACATGTGATACAGTAAATTCATGTTAGGTACATACACATACACATAAATAAAAATCTTTTTTTTCAAAAGTTAGTTTTCTATCATAAACTTAGTTTGAAATAGGCAGCAATGTATTAACAGACCAGCCACCCAGTGAATCAAGAGTAACATTTCCAAGAACTGCCTGCTCATTAGACACCAATCCACATAAAGTAAAACCCAAACAAATGTTCACCTGTTTAGAAACAGCATTTACATCTCCTAGCAAAGTCACAGCAGGCTTTACATTATTCCCCAATTCTTCTGCACAGATGTCAACCTAAAAAGAGAAGAGCCTGAAGAACAAGCCAGGTTTGGTCTTTAAAAAATTTTTTGTTTGTTTTTCGAGGCAAGGTCTCACTATGTAGCCCCAGCTGGCCTACAACTCACTATGTAGCCCTAGCTGGCCTGGAACTTACTATATAGACCAGGCTGGCCTCAAACTCAGAGATCTGCCTGCCTCCACCTCCCAAGTGCTAGAATTAAAGGTATGTGCCACCACATCTGGCTTGCCCTTAAAAACCTTTAGAAGTGGTAAAGGTGCCCACCACCAAGCCTGATAACCTGAGCTTAATCTCCAGGACATACCCATATGGAGAAGTTTCCTGTTGGTTGTCCTGTGACCTCCACATGTATGCTGTGCCATCATGTATACTTACACACATGCGCGCGCACGCACACACACACACACACACAAACAATAAACAATAAGCGAAGTTTAGAAAACTTTCAGAAGCTAATTACAGTTGAATAATAAACTATGTAAGTATACCATTATGATAAAGATGTGACATTTAGTAAGCTAGTTCCTTAACAAAAGTAAACATTCATGGAAATATATGACTATCAGCTAGAATAGAGAACTTCATTTCTCATTTTAGAGTCCATTTTATGAAATTTTGGTATTCTCCCATTTTACTCACAGAATGCATTTGACTTGCTCAGTTATAGTTGAATGCAGCCAACAATAAGGTTCTACTGAATTACATTTGGAATGCCTATCAAGATAGGGGTTCTCAAATTCACTCATATATTGGAGTCGCCTAGTTAAATAAATCTATGGCTTTTTAAACCACAGATTACTGAAGTCCACCTCAGAGTTTCTGACTGCAACACATCTGGGATAGGGGTCCAAAGCTGCATTTCCATGCTGATGCTAGTGGTCCAGGGACTGTATTTTGGGAGCCAATCCTAGAGCACAGTGTATATAATTTCCATTTACTCCGAAGTTCCATTTATGAATGGACATGAACAAGCAGAAGTGGCTTCTGCAAGGAGGAATAATTTAATCACTCAAGTGTATGCATTTTAGCCAATAATCAACAAGACTGGCAGCATTCTCTAGGTACCACATAACCTTGCCTTTTCATGGTTTTTAGTTCTCAATGGCTCCATGTGGGAAAGAAACTTAATATTAAACGTTGACCCCTTAAGAAGTATTTGGTAGGGGCTGGAGAGATGGTTCAGTGGTTAAGAGCACTGACTGCTCTTGCAGAGGACCCGGGTTTGATTCCCAGCACCCACATGGCGGCTACGAACCATCCTTAACTCCAGTTCCAGGGGACTCCAAGCCCTCTTCTGACCTCCGTAGCATTGCACAACACAGGTGGACTCACACACATGCAGGCAATACACTCATACACATAAAATAAAAATAATAAATAAAATATTTAAAAAAAAGAAGTATATGGTAGACTGGGAGAAGACAGCAATGCAGCCTGGTCATGGAACATCAACTTGAATCGGCTTGCTGTAGAGCAAACAGGCTGTATGCCTCTATATGTGGTACTTCCCACAGTATGGAAATGGCTTATAGAGTCACAAAGAGAGGTCAGAGTATTTTCCAGACATTTTATTTAGTGACAGGGAAAGCAGAGTCATTTAGAGATTTCCAAAAGCTGAAACAAAGTTTTGGCATCTAAAAGAAAAACTCACTCCCTAACAAGGCTGAATATGTCATTCCCATCTACCACCCTATTTAAACCTCTGTTCTCTCTTTACACATACTTGAACTGTGAAGAAGAGGTAAATTATGCTTTTCAAACTAGCTGAAACTTGATTTTGAAAGGTTTTCTCATTAGAAGTAGCACATTATGTTTTGTAGGCTTGAAAAGCCAGCTTACTTTGGTACCTGTAATTATGCTGGATAATTTGTAAAATCTATTTCTGTAAGAAGAGAAAAGGTTCTTTACAAAAGCCAAGAAAAAAGCAGTGCTGATAATGTCTGGGCGGGAGAACAATGAAGCACAGACAGCAGACTGGAAGTCTCCCTCTCTGAGTACCTGAATAAACTTCACATCTGGCTGGTATCTTGGAGGCAGTCCAAAATGTAAAATCCAGTTTAGTCTGGCACCAAATAACATAATCACATCAGCAGATTGCAAAGCCCTGTTTAAAAAAAGAATCTGATATAACACACACAAAAAAAGAAGTGATTTTTTTAAAGCTTGAATTATTCTAAACTTCTTAAAGTATTTCCGAAGTCTACATAATTTGGAACTTCTAGGGTAAATTTGATCTTTCAAATTAAAATAATTTTTGGAGGGCTGGGAAGATGGCTTGTTGGGTAAAGTACTTTGCTGTACAAGCATGAAGACCTGAATTTGGAGTCCTAGCACTCATATAAAAGCTGGGTGCTGTGGCACACAGCTGTGACTCAAAAGTTGTGGGCACAGAGACAGGTGGATCATATGGGCCAGCTGTCTAGACAAGATGGTTAAGCCCTCAGTAAGAGAGATCCTGTCCTAACACCAAAGTAGAATGTGATAGAGGAAATCACTCAAGGTCATGTTTTGGCCTCTTAATTTGCATGTATGAATGCATGCATACCCCCAACACACGTGTGAGCACAAATGTGAATACCCCATACATACATATAAAATAAAGAAAATTTTTAGTTTTATTATGTTTGAGGATAGGGTCTTGCTTTTTAGCCTGGGCTGGCTTCTGGCTTCAAACTTGTGATTCTCCTGCCTCAGCCTCCCAAATGTTGGGATTACAGATGCGTACCACTAAGCCTGGATGTTTTGTTTTGGTGGTGCTGGGGATAGAACCTAGAACCTCATGCATGTGCTCTGCTGAGCCACATCAAAGTCCATTTTGAATCTCAATGCACACTTTGTATTGATTCCTAGACGCAGATTTTTTAAAGACAATTAATTAATTTTTTGGTCTTACTGAGACAGCGTCTCCCTGTAGTCCCAGTTGGCCTGGAACTCACTATGTAGACCAGGCTGGCCTTGAACTCACAGAGATCCTCCTGCCTCTGCCTCCCAAGTGCTGGGATTAAAGGCGTGCGCCACCACCCCTGGCAAAGATTATTAATTTTTATTTTATTTATTTTTATGTGTATTCGTGTATTGCCTGCATGTAGGTAAGGGCACTGGAGGACAGAAGAGGCCATCACATCCCCTGAACTGGAGTTACGGACAGTTGTTAGCCGTCATGTGGGTGCTGGGATTCGAACCAGGGTCTTCTGCAAGAACAGCCAGTGTTCTTAACTGCTGAGCCATCTCTCCAGCCCAAGAGTATTAATATTTTTTTTTGGTCTTTCTGAGACAGGGTCTCCCTGTAGCTCCAGCTGCCTAGAACTCACTCTGTAGACCAGGCTGGCCTCGAACTAACAGAGGATCTGCCTGCCTCTGCCTCCTGAGTGCTGGCATTAAAGGCATGCGCCACCATGCCTGGCAAGAGTATTAATTTTTAAAGACTATTAATTCATCTTCCAGAATTGTGTTCTTTTTTTTTTTTTTCCAAGTCAGGGTCACATATAGCCCAGGCTGCCTTTTCCCTTTTTTTTCCTTTTTGAGACAAAGTATCATGTAGCACAGGTTGGCCTCAAACTCTCTATGTAACTAAGGATGACTTTGAACCTTTTTTGTTGGTGGTGGTGTTTTTGTTTTGTTTTTTTGAGACAGGCTCTCCCTGAACCCCAGCTGCATGGAACTCGCTATGTAGACGAGGCTGGCCTCAATCTTACGGAGATCGTCCTGCCTCTGCTGCTGCTTTTTTTCTTAAGATTTAGTTATTTTTAAATTTATGTGTATGTGTGTGTGTGTACCATGTGAGTGCAAGTGCCCATAGAGGCCAGAAGAGGATGTAAGATTCCCCTGGAACTGGTATTAGAGGTGGTTATGAGTCATTTGATGTTGACGCTTGCAACTGAACCCAGGTCCTCTGTAAGAGCACTAAGCATTCTTAACTGTCATGCCATCTCTCTAGTCCCAGCTCTGAACTTGTAAGCATCCTGTCTCTACCTTCTGAGTGCTGGGACTGCAGGCATGTGCCACCATGCTCAGTTTATGCAGCGCAAGGTTTTGTGCATGCCAGGCAAGCACTCTACCAACTGAGCTACATCTTAGCCTAGAATTGCCTTTAAAATACACTAAGTGTTTTCATCTAATGTCTAATTAACTGAGACCAGGCTGTGTTTTACAAGAGTTTTCAGCAATGTGATATCTAAGTTTGGATACTCTGCTTTGTGAAAATTCCAAGGTGTCCATAGATGGTACTGTAAGTATATCACTCAAGAGACAGCAGAAGGCAGATATTATGCTGGTGTGAATTTCACTTGAGGAATTTTCACAAATATAGAAAAAGGGGGATTGAATAAGAGTCCAACTTCCTCTCCTCAATGAAGCTTCAGCATACACTCATTCCAAGCCATACTCCCCCCACTTCCCCTTTCCTTCCTTCTCTTTCTTTGTTTTTGAGATAGGGTTTCACTGTGTAGCCCAGGCTGGACCCCAACTCACTCCTGACTCAGTCTCTTAGGAATATAAGCAAGTACTACCACACCTCGATAAGAAAGCTCTTAGTAGCCAGAGAAAAACAACATACTACATATAGAGCAGTGATACAAATAACTGAAGATTTTCCAACTAAAACCACAGGGCAGGAACAAAATCAATCGTATCTTCAAAATACCGATGAAACAAAAATGTTTAAAATTACATGATTCATTTACAATCTCCTCTTTCAATTCATCAAGATCACAAATCTAAAATCTATACATTTAAGTCTTTGTATTTAAGACCTGGAATGCCACGCACCTGGATCTGGCTGCACCTACACAGTTTGGATGACTGTCAGGGACAACACCCTTCCCCATGGGTGTGGGCAAAAATGGCAAATTGCACTGCTCTACCAATTTCCTGATACTGTCCTCTGCATGGGCATAAGCAGCACCTGCAAGAAATGCAAATGTATCAGAGGATTCCGTTAACCTTGGCAGTGGGAACCCCAAAATGTTTCATGTGAAATTGCTTTTAGATCCCAAACTCTCCTGCATACACATGGGCTTAAACACAAAACAAATAGTGATTATGGTTACTGTTCTACTTGGCTTATACATCTTTATCACAGTCCATCACTGAGGGAAGTCAGGGCAGGAACTGAAGCAGAGACCATGGAAGGAAACTGCTGTATTTAAGACTGGGAATGCCACACCCCTGGATCTGGCTGCACCTGGCTTGCTCAGCTAGCTTTCTGACATAGGCCAGGGCCACCTGCCTAGGGATGCCCACATTGATTAAGAAATGCCTCACACACATGACCACAGGATAATCTGATTGAGAAAATTCTTCAGTTGAGGTTCCCTCTTCTTAGGTATCTCTAGATTGGTGTTGAAAACAAAACAATTTAAGAAAGCAATCATTCTAATTTCCCCTCAATAATATGCCCAGTTATTCTGAAGAACTTACCTCTAAACAAAAGCTGTATTCTCCCCCACCTCTCCTTTCTCTTTCCTGCTTTTTTTTTTTTTTTTTTTGGTTTTGGTTTTGGTTTTTGAGACAGGGTCTCCTTGGAGCCAGATCTGGCCTGGAACTCACTATGTACACCACTGACCTCAATCTCACAGAGATCCACTTTCCTCTGCCTCCCAACTGTTGGATTAAAGACCAAGCCTGGCTTTTATTTTGTATCTCTTGCTACTTTCCCTTCCCTGCTCTATGCTTGGTCCTACTGAAGTACTCACAATTCTTTGGTGCACTATCTTTACTGGAAGGCTCAGGAGGGGAGGGAAGAACTTTGCCCTGAAAGACAAAGGCTCCATCTACTTTCACCATATTTCCTCAATGACACTGAAAACAACTTATTGTCTAGACATACAGGAATGGTGTCAAAAGGCCACTATTTCTGAGCTATATAACACATATTCTTTTCCAGGGCTGATAATTGATATTCGAAATACATTTCTCTATGGAATCCTAGTAACTAGTGTACTTTCAGACTAAGTATCATGCTCTCCACTAAAGACCTCCTTAAATTCCTGTATTACACATGTATGATGAAAAATAGTCCTTTTTATTTCAGACAGAAAGTTTTTCCCTTTTTTTTCAGAGCTGAGGACCAAACCCAGGGCCTTGTGCTTGCTAGGCAAGAGCTCTACCACTGTACTAAATGCCCAACCCCTTTTATTCTTTTAAAAATATTTTATTATTTTTATGTGTATGTGTGTATTGCCTGCATGTAGGTAAGTGCACACATGTTGTGCAATGCTCACGGAGGTCAGAATAGGCTGTCGGATCCCCTGGAACTGGAATTACGGACAGTTGTCAGCTGCCATGTGAGTACTGGGATTCGAACCCAGGTCTTCTGCAAGAACAGCCAGTGTTTTTAACCACTGAGCCATCTCTCCAGCTCCCTTATTCTTTTTCTTACCTCAATGTTTCTTTTTTTAAAAAATATTTTATTGAAATCTACCCAATGACTTTATATCCATACACGGGTGCCAAGGATCCAAGTGCAACCGATCCATGACTAGTAATAATCAGATACATACAGATTAGAGATGCATGTGCCAACATCTAAGTGTTATTAGCAAAAACAATGAGTCTTTCTGTAAGAAACAGTATATTTTAAAATGAAATGGAGATCTTTTTTAAAGGTTAAAAACTCATTCAATTTTATGTCTTACAGGGTTTATACTGAGTTCAATATTGTATAACTGTATTAATTCAACTGTGAACCTAAAAATTTTATAGCCACTTTGAAAGAGATGTATCTTTGCTCTGGAAATTGTTATTGAGTACGTTAAAGCTGTAATGAAATGCTTCTTCTAAAAAATAAAAGAAAGCAAAAAAATTTTATTTTTATTTTGTGTATGAGTGCTTTGTCTGCATTTATATAAGTGTACCATATGCATGCATCCAGAAGAGGGTGTCAGATCCCCTGGAACTAGAATTAAGCCACCATATAGGTGTTGGGAACCAAACCCAGGTACTCTGCAAGAGCAGTCAAGCACGCGATATTCTTACAGAAGACCGGAGTTCAGTTTCCAGCACACACATGGTAGCTCTAGTTCCAGGGGATCAGATGCCCTCTTCTGGCCTCCATGGACACTGCATATAGGTGGTACATTTACATACATGCAGGCAAAACAGTTATACATATAAAATTCCTTGGATGAGAGATTTCTTCTAAAACATTTCTAGATTTTCTAAAATGTTTTAGAATAGAAAAAAATATTTACTTCTTTAAAAAAATTTATTATTTTTATTTTTATGTGCATGAGTGCATTGCTTGCATGTATATAAATGCACCTGTGTTGTTCAATGCCTGCAGAGGTCAGAAGAGGGTGTTGGATCCTCTGGAACTGGAGTTAGCTACCATCTGGGTGTTAGAAATTGAACCTAGGTCCTTTGTAAGAGCAGCAAAGGCTCTTAAGTGCTGAGCCATTTCTCCAGCCCAGAAATACATTTACTTTCAAGTCAAGAAATGTAACAGGAGTTATTTCCTTGTAAGAGTGAGCCCTGGGCACCTGTCCTAGTTTGTTTCTCCATTGCTGTGACAAAACACTCTGACCAATACTAACTTGGGGAGGAAAGGGTTTATTTAGCTTGGATATCCCAGGTCACGGTTCATCCGGGAGCCCAAGGTAGGAACTCAGGGCAGGAACCTGGAGGCAGAAGCTAGAGGACAGGCTATGGAGGAACTCTGCTCAGCCTGCTTTCTTATGCAACACAGGCCACCTGCCCAGGCCTGGCACCACCCATAGTGGGCTGGGCCCTCCCACATCACACAACAATCAAGAAGATGCCTCACAGACATGGCCACAAGCCAGTTCAATGGAGGCAATTCCCCAACTGAGGCTCCCACAACCCAGGTGTGTCAAGTTGACACTAAAGCTATCTAGCACAGCATCCAAGCTTGAGTTCTATGATTAGAAATCTAATTAACTATGCTGAATGGGAAAAAAAAGTCATTCCAATTTCAAACATTAGAGCACACGAAACGACAATGTCTAAAACAAACAAAAAAAAATTAGCATTCCTTCAAAAGCCCCACAAGAGTTAAGAGTTCTCCATGCTACCTTTTCCAATGATGAGTAGAGGCTGTTTGGCACTCCTAATAACAGATGCTGCCATACACACAGCAGAGGTTTCTGCCATACTGATAGGAGGTGGCATGCAGCACTCCTTGTACCTGGAAAGAAAGAGTGATGCTATAATAGTTAAAAGAAGCTAAGTATAATAAATTCTATATATTCAATATGTAGATCATGTCATTTTGCATGTTTCACACACACAGACACATACAACCTCCCCCTCCCCCCAATTTTTTAAACCAATATAGACATCAGACATTTTACCTGCAAAAACTTCCAAATGCAGCTCTAAAGGTAAGAATCTTCTTTTATACAATCATCAATTCCTTATCACTTTTATACAACCATCAAATCCTTATCACATCTAGTAACTTCACATGTTTTCCTTAATAAATCTAAGAGCCAGTCAAATTGGGTCACTGGCTTTGTACCATAGTAGGAGTAAAACAGAAAACAGTAGCAGTTGTTAGAATAGAAAAAAACCTAACCCAGTCAGGCATGGTGGTGCACACCTTTAATCCCAGCACTTGGGAGGCAGAGGCAGGCAGATCTCTGTGAGTTCAAGGGGATCTCTGCGAGTTCCAGGCCAGCTGGGGCTACAGAGAGACCCTGACTCAAAAAGACAAAAAACAAACAACAACAACAAAAAAACCCAAACCCCTAACCCATACTAAAAGCTAATAGGTAATAAGATGGTGCCATTTCTTCTCATTTAATTTTCCCAAAACAACAAAGTAAGGTAATCTATTATATCAATTTTACCACTGAGGAAAAAAAAAACCAGAGAAAGTAACAAGGTTCCAGGTGTCATGTAGCAGGAAATGCACTGCAGTCACTGTCTCCAAAGTCTCTGCTGTTAAGCACCTCAGTACTCCCTAGTTCCACTCACTGATAAGTTAAAATTACAGTATAACAAAAGGCATTAGTAAAAGAACTGTTAAAACCGCCACAGTTAAGTATTTCTGAATAACAAGTCCTCACTGTGACATGTCATTTATTCTTATTAAAAAATCATATTGTATAAAATATGGACCTATATTATCCAAATATCTGAACATATAATAAAATAGGGTAATCAACCTCTACAAAAATTTTAAAGAAGGGTTACAGAGTTTTAGTTTATCTAAAGCTCATTGTCCCTCACTCCTAAATATTATTGTGACCATCATGTCCAGGTATATTCACAGTTGATGTCCTTGTGTCTGATTCTCACAAATAGAAATCATCCCCAGTATACTGAATACACAGTGAAGACCACTGTCTGCAGCCACTAGAAGGTCATTTCCATAATAGCAAAGTCCACAAAAATTGTATTTAAGAAATAATTTTAATAAAAAAAATTTTTAACCAGGCGTGGTGCACATGCCTTTAAACCTAGCACTCAGGAGGCAGAGGCAGGTAGATCTCTGTGGGTTCAAGGCCAGCCTGCTCCACATAGTGAGTTCCAGGCCAGCCAGGAACTATATAGTGAGACCCTGTCTCAAAAATCTCCCTACCCCACAAAAAAGAGAAGAAATAATTTGAAACAATGGAACACTTTATGATGCTAAGTGAATAAACTATAGTAGGAACGAACACAATATGTACGATATGTATGAAAGCTCGATACGGTAGCCCACACCCATAATCCCAGTACTTGAGGGTAGAGGCAGGAGGACTGAGAGTTTGAAGCCAGCCTGGACTATACAATGAGACCGAATCTCAAAGTCCTGAATACAAAAATCAGTACATTAATGAAATATGCATGAGAAAAAAGAAACGTGCTGAACGTTAAAGATGTCAATCCTTAGACACAGTGGGGCTAGAGAGAGACTCAACAGTCAAGACCATCTGTTGTTCTTCCAGAGGACTCAAGTTCAGTTCCCAGCACACACACTGGGTAGCTTACAACTACCTAGAAAAAAGTAATGGAAAGGGGATGGGGCAGGGTTTGGGAGGCTGGAATGGGGGGTATGGATTTGATTAAATACAGCATGCAAATGTATGAAATTCTCAAACAATAATTTAAAAAAGAAACAGAAAAAAAAGGATTTCCTCTCTTTTTCTTGATTTTCAAAAACTATTGTACTAGAAAAAGCAGACTGCACTCTGAAGATGGAGATATTACTAGTGGATTTATGGTCCACATTAGCACTAAGTTCTACCCATCTTTAAAAAAATATTTTATTATTATTATTTTTTAATATTTTATTTATTATTTTTATTTTATGAGTGTATTGCCTGCACGTAGGTAAGCACACCCGTGTCGTGCAATGCTCACGTAGGACAGAAGAGGCCATCGGATCCCCTGGAACTGGAGTTACAGACATTTGTTAGCTGCCATGTGGGTGCTGGGATTCGAACCTGGGTCTTCTGCAAAAACAACCAGTGTTCTTAACCACTGGGCCATCTCTCCAGCCACTTATTTTTATGTGCATAAGTGTTTTGCCTGGATGTATGTAAGTGTACCTGTGCCATACAATGCCCGCCAAGGCCAGAAGAGGGTATCAGATCCCCTGGAACTGAAATTATGGACCGTTGTTAGCCACCATGTGGGTGCTGGGAATCGAACACAGATCCTCTAGAAAAACAGCAAGTGTTCTTAACCGCCGAGCCCCCCAGTTCTACCCATCTTTATCAAGGGTGAATGACATTCTGTAAAAAAGGTTTGTTTTTTTACTTTCTTTTGCTCGGTGTTTCTTTTTTTTCTTTTCTTTTTTTTTTTTTGGTCTTTTTGAAGCAGTGTCTCCCTGTAGCCCCAGCTGTTCTGGAACTCACTATGTAGACCAGGCTGGCCTTGAACTCACAGAGATCCACCTGCCTCTGCCTCCCAAGTGCTGGGACTACAGGCGTGTGCCACCATGCCCAGCTAGCTCAGTGTTTCTTTAAGAAACAAAAGTACATGACGAATCACAGATACATCTGTTTCAGAATATCATCAAGCTACAAAAGCTAGACGAACACTTTTTTTTATGCTGAGTCCTAACAATTTTTCAACAATTACCCCATTTCTTGGCTTATACTAGGATAATGTGGATATATCTCTGGTTAATGGGAGAATAACTTCATATGAGGAATTCAGTAAGTTCCAAGTATTAGATTTTCAGTAAGTTCCAAGTATTAGATTTAGTAATTAAATTCAGTTACTAAATACCATTATAATGAAGATAATTAAGCCCTTTGGCAAGGATTCAGCTTAATTAGAAAATCATCAAAAGATATTGAGACACCTGAGGATTAATTGATAAACTGCTACATAAATTCTTTGTAAAAGGCAAATATAATGGTTAACACAAAATTATAAAAGAATTTGATTGACTATTACTCACTTTACAGAATTCACATTCTCCTGGAGGATCACAAGATCTGCAGGAATGTCAATGTAACAAGCTCCTGGACGCCCATAGATACTGCTCCTCACGGCCTGTGTTCATCACAAGTAGAAGAAAGGATTTTTTTTTTAATTTTATGTATTTAATTTATTTATTATGTGTATGAGTGTATTGCCTGTATGCGTGTTAAGTGCACCCGTATTGTGTAACGCCTGAGGAGGTCAGAAGAAGGTGTCAGATCCTCTGGAACTGGAGTTATAGACAGTTGTTAGCTGCCATGTGGGTGCTGGGACTAGAACCCGGGTTCTCTGCAAGAGCAAACAGTGCTCTTAAACCGCTGAGCTATCTCTCCAGCTCCCAAGAATTTTTTTTTTTTTTAAAAGAGAGGGTCTTACTATATAGCTCAGGCTGGGCTGGAACTCAGAGATCCACTTGTCTTTCCTCCCATGTGCTGAGATTAAATGTATGCACCATCACATCCAGAGAAGAAAAGATTTTTAAAAAACCTCAATTATCATATTCTACTTGAAGATAATTTAAAAGTGTGAAATGAACACTAATTTTTTTCCCACTGTATCCTTACTTAAGAGAAAAAAGTTGTAATTAAAATTGAAGTGTCCTTCACGAAGTCTATATATTTTGAAAGATATTTTCCTTTAAAAGGGGATATGGGGGTTGGGGAGATGCCTCCATGGTTGGGAGTACTGACTGCAGAGGACCTAGCCAGGTTCGATTCCCAGCACCCATATGGCCGCTACAAACTGTCCTTAACTCCAGCTCCAGGGGACTCTGAAACCCTCTTTTGACTTCTGCGGCACTGCATGACACGGGTGCGCTCACTTACATGCAGGCAATACATTCAGACACATAAAAATAGAAATAATAAGCTGGGTGTGGTGGCACACACCTTTAATCCCAGCACTCGGGAGGCAGAGGCAGACGGATCCCTGTGAGGTCAAGGCCACCCTGGTCTACATAGTGAGTTCCAGGGAAGCTGGAGCTACAGGGAGACCCTGACTCAAAAAGACCAAAAAAATAAAAAATAAATAAAAGAAAATATAAAAGGGGATAGGAAAGAATTCATGTAGAGCTTTAAAATGCACGATTACATTTGAGTCTTTGAAGTTCTTCATTAGGCTCTGTGTGCTGTGTTTTTATACTATAGTATCGGCTTTCACTTGCTTCCTAATCCTAAGGATTTGGCAGAGTTTTCAGAAATGGTGACACTGTAATATGTGTCAAGCCATTTCTGTAACTCACAAATTCGAAACAAATTAAATATTATTTATACAAAATTCTGGTTAGGTAAAATTAATTTTCAACATGCTGTGTAACTAAAAGATCATCTTACTAGTTTCAGTATTTTTGCAAATGCATAAAAGAGGACCCAGAGGTTTATTATACATTTATCTTTACTCTGGTATAATTAAAAAGATAATTTTAACAAGTAACTCACAGGAGAATTCTTTTCCAAAAATAACTTATTTTATCTCTGTGTATATAATTAACTGTAATGGCAGTAAATGTTAGAATGTAAACAGCTTTTTAACAGCATCACCAGTCTGGGTATACTCTTAACTGTCATTTCATTAGGAATAAAAATAACAGTTCTGAAGGTGTGGCTGGAGGATGAGCATGTGCAGAGCATGTACAAGACCTTGGGTCCAATCCCCAGGGCAGCTTTAGTAAATACTGTACCTTTTCAATAACAGAAGGAATATGTTGTATGCTGCTTGGTTGGGCAGAGAACTTGCTATATAATCTGCAAGCTTCAACCTAAGTAGAAAATGAAAACCATTTAAAATCCACTCACAATCATATTACTCTCGTAAAGAAAGACAAAATGTCAAGCCATTACTTCCTATTACATTAGAGGCAAGAGGGAGAAACTTTTATTTGTTTGGAGACTTTCAAAAATACAACAAAAGCCTATTCAATCAGACTCCTTCCTCAGGATGATTCAGGAAACAAATCATAACAACACACCATTTTCATTTCTCAGGCAGGCAAAAATCAGAAAGTTTGAGAATACACACCATGTACCACAGCACAGGAAAGCAGGCATTCTCATAAGCTGCTGGTCAGAGTATGCATGGAAGGGAAGCACAATGCCTATTAAAAAGCATAAAGTCCTGGGGCCCAGCAAGTCCACAGCTAGGCTGTATCACTGCACCTGCTGCATCTTATTTAGTCTGACATTCTGCTAGTTTCGACTTCATGTACTTGTTGCTAAGCTTGTACTCAGGAACACCTGAGTTCAGAAGTAGTCCCTTTCCACTGTCGAATGTACCTTGAGGCATTAGAGAAACATCCTTTTCAGTATGAATGCTATGAAAGAGATGACAGCCGTGGTCCCTTAGTCACATGGGCTTGACAGAATTAAGGCCTTCCCCAAACGTCCAGACCCTTTATACTTATGTTCTTTAGGTTTTTTTTAAGGTTTTAAAAAAATATTTTATTATTTTTAGAACTGGAGTTACGAACAGCTGTTAGCTGCCATGTGGGTTCTGGGATTCGAACCAGAGTCTTCTGCAAGAACAGAAGTGTTCTTAACCGCTGAGCCATCTCTCCAGGCCCTTATATTCTTTAGTTTTAACTTCCATTAAAATCAGGCATGTGGATTTTAAATCAAATTGTGCTTTAATTTTTAATTTAATCTAATAAACTGCTATTATTTTATTTTAATTTTTTTTTCGGTCTTTTTCAGACAAGGTCTCCCTGCAGCCACAGCTGGCCTCGATTAGCTAATGGAGACCAGGCTGGCCTCAAACTCACAGAGATCCACCTGCCTCTGCTTCCTGAGTGCTGGGATTAAAGGTGTGCACCACCATGCCTGGCTCTATTATTTTAATTTTAGGAACATATACTTGAATACTGGACATTAATACTCTGCTTTCCTCCCCCCATTAATATGGTTTTCGTAATACTTTAAAATTTTCTTTTAAAAAAGTTTTTACATTTATTTGCTGGATGTGGTGGTACACACCTTTAATCCCAGCACTTGGGAGGCAGAGGCAGGCGTATCTCTGTGAGTTCAAGGCCAGACTGGTCTACATAGTGAGTTTTTCCAGGCCAGCTGGGGCTATAGGGGACCCTGTCTCAAAAAAAAGACCAAAGAAAAAGTTTTTATATTTATTTATGTGCTATGTATAGTGGTATGTGGCCGTCAGAGGACAACTTTCAGGAATGGAGTCTCTTCTTCCACTATGTACATTCCAGGTATTGAACTTGGGTCCTCAGGCTTGACAGCAAGCAAGGAGCCATCTCACCTGCCCTAAACTCTCAATCTCTCTCTCATTTTCTCTCCCTCTTCTTTTCTCTCTTTTGAGACAGGGTCTTGCTAGCTCAAGATGGTCTCAAACTTTATTGGTGTGTGCCACTACATTTGGACAAAATTTCTAAATTTCCTTTTAATTAACTATTCTGCTTATTTTCTGGATAAAATAGCATCTTTCCTTTTCTTTTGTTTCCTGAGAGTCTCACCATGTAACACTAGCTGGAACTCTATGTAGACCAGACTCATCTAAACTCACAGAGACCTGCCACCACTCCTGCTGTACGCCCTTTTTCTTTTCTTTTTTTTTCCTGGTTTTCTTTTTCTTTTGGTCTTTTTTAAAAAAATATTTTTTATTATTTTTTAATTTATGTGTATGCATGTATATTGCCTGTATGTATGTGTACCTGTATCATGCAATACCTGAGGATGTCAAAAGAGGGTGTCAAACTCCCCTGAACTAGAGTTATTGACAATTGTGAGCCTCCATGTAGGTGCTGGGAGTCAAACCTGAGTCTTCTGTAAGAGCAGTCAGTGCTTTTAACAACTGAGCTATCTCTCCAGCCCTTTTTTTTTTTTTTTTTTGAGACAGGTTCTCCCCATAGTCACAGCTGGCCTGGAAGTTGCTATGGAGAACAGGTTGGCCTTGATCTCACAGAGATCCCCTTGCCTCTGCCTCTTGAGTGCTGGGATCAAAGGCGTGTGCCACCATCCTGGGCTAAGCCCTTAATATACAATGTGATACTGTCTTATTCAGGACAATTACTTTAGGCGCCTCTAATGTTTTTAAAGTTGTTTTTCAAATTAAACAATATTATATTTATTATTGTTATTAATGCGCTGTATGTGTGTGCATGTAGACACAAGTATCACAGCACACGTGTGAAGGTCAGAGAACAACTTAAGGCAGTCAGTTCTCTCCTTCTACCACATGGGTCCTGGGGATCAAACTTGTCATCAAGCTGGGGACAAGCACCTTTACTCACTGAGCTATCTCACGTTCCCTACAGCTTTTTTTTAATTTTACAGGTTTGATGAATTGTGTCTATTACTCTTAGTGGTGTTCAACTATTGCCAGAATATTAGAGTCGGATACCTGAGGAAACTCCTGGAAGGCTCCCATTGTTTCTTGACTTCTTTCAGAGGAACCAGCAATCACAATCAAGGGCCTATAACAGTCATTTTTAAAAGATAATTACAAATGAGGTCATTATACTCTCAGCACCGAGGCAAGTGCATAGCAAACAACAAATGTTAGAGACAGAGAACAGACACATACAGAGACTACACTGTACCCTCCTTGAAAAACTAGAGGTTAAAAATAATTTTACATGCAATCAGATATGAGAAAAACCTTCCTCAATTCAGAAAAATGGAAAATATATGATAAATGTTTTTTCTCATGCCTCTTCACCCCTAGGTGGCTGATGTTAGGTTTCCAGGAATAGTGACATAAAATGAATTTTATGCCTTTACAATAGATGGGGAGAAGACATTTTATACTTTCCTAAGTAAACCTATATGGAAATGGCAAAATGAGTGCCATTTTTCAACTTTTATCTCTCAAGGCTAAAAAAAAAATACAGAAAACCTCAACGTATTAAAAAATGTCAAGCCCTAAGTAGGCAAGACTAGTATTGAGAAAGACTAGAAAAAAAGAACTCTAAGAAACACAATGCAGTGCTAGCTTCAGTAGCACAAAGACAGGCATGGCCCTGCACAAGGATGACAGCACATTTGTGGAAATGATCCACATTTAAAAAACAATGCAGGGTAGTTGAGATGGCTCAGCAGGTAAGGGCACTTGCTTACCACATGTAATGATTCCCAGGGCCCAAATGGTGCAAGGAAAGACCTGACTCCCACAGGTTGTCCTCTGACTCCACATGTGTGCCCTGTCATGTGCACATGCCCCACACAAAATAAAAAAAGAAATGGTGAAAAAACCCAATGGCTTTTCCATTTAAAATATTAAATATGTGATGACTTGGGGCTGGAGAGATGGCTCAATAGTTAAGAGCACTGACTGCTCTTGCAGAAAACCTGGGTTCAGTTCTCAGCACCCACAGTTCCAGGGGACTCCAATGCCCTCTTCAGGGCTTTGTAGATATTGCACACACACGGGCACTTACACACATGCAGGCAAAACACACATACACAAAAAAAAGATAAATAAAAATAAAAAAAATTATGTTCACCCTGGTATTATTGGTACATGAGCAAAGAAAAGGTTAAAGGTGAAGACAGAGAAAAAGCATCAAGCAGCTTATGAAGCAAATTAAAAAAAAAAACATAAAGGCCTTACTAACTAGGTAGAGCAAAATTAATAATTAAGATATATATGCTTAGTTAGGTGTGGTAGTACAGGCCTGTAATCCTGGCTACTCAGGAGGCTGAAACAGGAGGATCACAAGTTCAAGGCCTGCTTGGGTTACAGAAGGAGTTCAAAGCCACCCTGGCCAATTTAGTGAGATCCTGTCTCAAAATAAAATGTAAAAAAACAAGCTTAAGCCGGGCGTGGTGGCATACACCTGTAGTCCCAGCACTTGAGAGGCAGAGGCAGGCGATCTCTGTGAGTTCAAGGCCAGCCTGGTCTACATAGTGAGTTCCAGGACAGCTGGGGCTAGAGAGACCCTGTCTCAAAAAGACTAAAAAAAAAAAAAAAAAACCCACAAAAAAAACAAAAAACAAAGCTTAGTAGAATGCTTGCCTTGTATAAACAAGGCCATAGGTTCAGTAAAATTAATAAATGCATAGTTCTTTACTTAAACAGAACTATGTCCACATCACACACACACAGATGCACACATCCACAGAGTAAAACTCTAAAATGTTAATTGTTTCTTTCTTGTAAACTGTTTTCCATTTTCTTCTTAATATTCCTTTTTTCACAGTTTATATTTAAGGGAGACAGAATTATCCCTTACAGCATTACATTTTGATATCCACATGCATAGTGAAATGATGCTACAGTCAAGCAAATTAACACGCATCATGTCAGTTACCTTTTGTGTCATAAAAGTACTCCAAACCCGTTCTTTTAGCAAATTTCCAATATACAGCACAATATTATTAACTAGTATCTTCATGCTGAAATTAGAGCTCCAGGCTAATTTACCCAACATTATTGAAATGTATTCTTTGACCCCCATCTCCCCAGTCCTCTGCCTGCTTCCCACATAATCACTTTCCTATTGTTTTTAAGTATTAGGAGGTGGTTATTTACTTCTCCCCAACTCTTTCCACCCTAAATCAGTTCTATTCAGTAAAATTATGCAAGGATACTTTAACAAAAAGTTTTCAGCAGGAATAATTAGATTACCAACAGTTCATGTTTGCATTTGCCATACCACCCAAGGCATGGATGAGACCTGGGCCAGAAACAACAAGACATACTCCTGGCCTAGAAGCAAAACAGAAATTAGTTAAAATTAAAAGCAGATCAAGTTCAGCAACTAAACAAGAAACACATGCCCCAGCAATCTCAGCTTTAAACCAAACATATTTGGCACATACCAACAACTGATTCATATTATGTTAGAGTTTCCATGGAAACCCCTTGGCCATTAAAGGAAAGATATGTAGATCTTTGCTATAATTAAGAAAATAGTATTTTTAATAAGCATAAGAGAAACATCAAGTTTCTTGTAAAGTATACGGCAC